TTTCCAGATGGATATGCGGAGCAAATCCATCTGGCGGTGTCAGTTTAGTTATCCAAGGCCATCAGAATATCATTAGTGACTTTAGCCAGTGCTGTTTCAGTGCTGTGATAACCTCTAATCCCAACTATTAACTCAAGAATTTTATATAAGAAAGGAAGATTAGGTATAGGTCTATAACTGACCAAGGAGCTGGTTCAGGAGACAGTTTCAAAGTTGAAGGTTTACAGTTACTTTATGAGCCTGAGAGGTCATGATCTTGACGCTGATGACTGGCTTGTTTGCGCATTTCATTTACCTGCCTAGCTCCAATCACTTTCCCATTTCTGCTTATGTGTTTCACCTATTCCAATCTCTATTTAAGCTGCCTTCTAACAGTCATCAGTGCCAGATTATTTGAGCCCACGGTAAGAGTCTTCTAGCGAGTATTATTCTTTCTGATTGCCTGATCCTGACCTGTTCTGCATCTGGACCTCTGAGCCTGTTTCCGTTCTGATCTGTTTGCCTGACCTGTCTTTGGACTCATGCTGGATTTTGTTGCTTACTGAACCTAAAACTGCTTCCTGACACCGACCTCTTCGGACCTCTGGTCTTCTGGCCCGGACTCCTGTGCACCTCCTCGACATTGGGTTTGGCTTCATCCTCTGGATATTCCTGACTTCCACTGCCTGCTCAGATCTGATCTCTTGCATGGTCTCCGGGATTTGAACGTCTGGCACAGCGTGAGCCACATCTTGTCGACAGCCGACCGGCTGGAACCTTCCTTGTCCTCTGTGTACAAACTGAACTTTAAGACCAGGAAAGTAACTCACATTTGTAAATTTCCTCTGCCAGATTTATGTGGTCGCTAACATGTGTTTTCTTCCTGCAGAGGTTACTGCCTTAGATGCCCTAGCTGTTCACTGCAGATCTGTCGCTTTAAATAAACGCTTTTTTAATATATCATACTGTCTGTCTGCTTGAATACTGGGTTCTCTGTTCTGAGCCTTGACATGAGGTACATATCCCGGTAACAGGGATAGGTTAATCTAAAATGGAGGTAGAAATCAGAGGGAATACTTTATTCAATAACTTGAGCCGGATCTAACAAGCAAGTTGAAGGCTTAGATGAAGGTATTCACTTAGCTAACTCCGAAAGTTCAACTGGATGAAAACAGTCTAAACCAGGGGTGTCAAACTGGTTCCAGAAAGGGCCGTGTGGCTGCAGGTTTTTTCTATAACCAAGCAATTGCACACCAGAATCCAGTCAACTCATCAAGGGATTGCAATCTGAACATAATGACTTTATGCTATGAATGGAGTCTAGTTTGCTATTGTTTGGTTGGAAAGAAACATGCAGCCATACGGCCCTTTCTGGAACCAGTTTGACACCTGTGATCTAAACCCAGTTCATATTCAGTAGTTGCCTCAGATGCTGCCTCACCTTCCATAGAAAGGATTTCTTACAGATACCCCTTTCTTTAACTGGTGCATACTGGCATAAACAGATCGCAGCCACAAGACCTCTGGATTTAGATTTTGCTTTGTGGTATGTTTCAAATGTTAGTAGAATTGTTGTTAACAAAGCACTGATTAAATGTTTTCTTTTTT